TCTTCTTTTAAAGCCACTAGGACCAGCTTGAGAGCCACTGGACCTCTGTCGCACAACTTATCTGTCCATAGAGCTCTGTACCTCCCGTTCCTTTAAGATTTGTCTAAATGGGCCTAACATTGTCATTGTAATAGTCACCAGCACGGCTTGCAATAGCTGTGTTAGGGTGATTTTCATCCATAAAGGTTTGCAGTTCAACCCACTTTGCACACATTTCCTTAATCTTTGAAGTAGGCACAATGGATTCCACAACTGGCATAGGCATCTCAGGGTTAGCCCCAAACCCTTCAAAATCTTTCTTTATTTCCATACTAATTCTCACCCATTTTATCACAGGGTTGGCACTAGAAGCTTTCTTGGGGCCCATGGTTACTTATTTTGCAGGTGAAATCACTAAAATCGCTGTGATAATATGAAATGTTCCGACTGTATGTTTGGATGCGACCGTGATGGCTGGCTTGTAAACACTGGCATCCACGGGACAAGTGAGGCGCGCTCAGGCCACACGTGGATGCGTCTTGAACGGAACAAATCGCGTTAGAGAGTTTTTTAGCGCTAGCCGAGGCAAAATTTTTGCGTTAAAATGCATCGCTAGGCAGATCTAACGTTATGCGATGCGTTCGTAAGGCGAGAGACCACTGTACTTGCCTCTATCCTTTTGAAATCTAAACTACATAATTTGAATCCATTATTGCGGGTTCTCTCTTGGAGAGAGATCCTCAAGACCTTATTTATTCCCCTTTGTTGAACCACTTCCACTTGTACACTTCGATTGTCCCCCTCTTTCTTCGCTTAAAGTGAAATGGTTTAACCCTTTTGGGGTTTTGGGTCTGTCCCTTTAAAGGCCAGGGTTTTTGATGTACTAGTACGCATTAAATTTAGCCCCCTTAAATTTTAGCAAGAGAAAGGGTAGGCCTAATATAAAAGGAATGGGTCTAGTGGTCAGTGTGCGCAGTAAAAAAAAAAATCCCAGCACCAGTGCGTAATGAAAAAAAAAAAAACTTTGCCCTTTTTTTGGGTTTAAAAACAGCGACTTTGCCTGTATTTTTAAATGGTATTTAGGTTGTATTTGTTTTCCGGGGTCTTATTTTATAGAAGGAAAATTTACAAAATTTTGAATGATTTTGATTGGTTTCATAATAAAAAAGTAATTTGAAATTGGTCAAGTAGCAGAAATGTTCATTTTTTGAGAGTTCAAAAGAAAAGAAATCACCCCCGGGCCCCATCTCATAACTATTTCTAGTGAAATATTTTATGTTTTTTGTCGCAGTACCCCCCGGGAAGGCCAAAAATAGGGCTCAAAGGGAAAAATCGCCGTGCGCAAACCATTGGACCGCAAAACTTCGCGGAGCAAATTTGTAAGTTCTCATCTTTTCAAACTTTTGGTGCTTTATACCGGGAAAAGATTCTCTTCTTTTCAAAAGAATTTTTTTTTTTTTTTTAAATTTGAAAACCCCTGAGAACAGTCTCTGAGGGGCCCCTGGCAACCAAAAAGAGTTAAGAGTTCTTCAATCGTTCTTCTACAAACTTTTAAATGCTATGTATTAATTTAGTCATTTTCACTGAATGTTTTTTTTAATGTTTTTTAAATCCATTTGAAAATATGGAGCCAGAACTGACTGCGTAATCTAGGTGGGGCCCCTTACTAATGATGATAAAGCTGCAGTAAACCTCGGGTTCGTTTTTTCACTTCTTGCTGGGTTTTATGGACACTCCTGAGCTTCGAACCTTGATTTATTACATTAAACTGCATTCCCCTTTTCGCCCAAGAATAGATTTTGTCAAAATCCTGTAAAATTCCCTGACATCACGTTTGAATCAATTATCCCCCTATTTTTGTGACATCACGATTTGCTCTATCATAGTAATCCCTCTCAAGGTAAATTGATCTATATTATAAACAACAACGGGCTAAGACGACCCCTGTGGTAGTCATCGTTACGACCCCCCCTCGGATTTAACTCCATTTAAGCATACCCTGCTTCTATTAGTGAGCCAAAACTCGACCCACGCAGCATTTTTTCCCCCAACCCGAGCTGCCACTTTTTTAAAACAGTCCTGGTACAGTACTCTAAAATTAAATAAAAAATATCGAATTTTTTTATCATGTCAACGGCCTAAAAAGCTTTATAAGAAGGAAGAAAATTATTTAGGCGGAAGGGCCCCTCGTAAATCCATGCTGAGTTCATTAATCAACTATGCTTATCAGATGGCTTCTTATAATTCAGCTATAATTGGCTCTGTAATTTCCCTACAATTGAGGTCAGGTTTTTGCGAAGCAATTTGACGGTAACGACTTGTCCCCTGTTTTAAACCCTTTTTTGATGTTTCGGCTGTATATATATTCTTACGACAGTGTTTTTTAGACGTATATATTTTAATAATTTAGTGGCTTCAAATAAAGCAGGAAAAACTGGTAGGCCCCATGTGGAGAATGGTCTTGTGCACGTGGGGGGCATTGGAAAATTGGGATGGGCAATTTTTTGTTAGTGGGATGGATTTAAAGGACCCGCCAAGATGGGGCCAACCCGGCCGCTGCAGTGTTCCTCCTTTCTTATGTTTTTATGTAAAAAAAATCCTCCCCGTGCATAATGAGAAAAAAAAAAACTCCCAAATGTGTTTTTGGAATAAAAAGCCGAATTTGAGGTGTATTTTCCTATAGTTTTTAGGTTGTATTTCTTTTCTTTTGGGCTCATTTTATAGAATGGGGAAAAAAAAATTTAAGAATAGAGAGATTTTTTATTAGTTTCACAATGAAAAGACCTTTAAATTGAGCTCAAAGAGTGGAAAGGTTTGATTTTTACCCAAATTTCAAGAGTAACAAATCCACTACACCCATACCGTCAACTGGGGTTTTTATTCTTTCACTAGTGCATGAATTATTTATACCCTTTTTTACAATAGTGCAGTTGTTGCAAATAGTAAATCTTCTTTTTTTGTGGAATAAAAACCCCAAAAAAGAAAGCAAGATAATTAAGGGGGGCTGGTGACATGATAATGAACAGAGGATTGTTATTTTAGTGCAAAGAAGATCTGCAATGTTTATTCTGGACCCCATTTTTTTAAATGATATTTTTTTTTTAATTTGCCGAAATTGGGAAAACTCCAATTTTTACCCTTTATTGGGTGTTGTTGGTTAATTTGGGGGGTTTTTGTACTCAACTATAGAAGAAATGGAGTTTTAAAAAAAATAGTATGATTTGGTCAACTGGAACAATGGAATTTGGTTGAAAATAGGGGTCAAAGTAGGTGAAAATCGGGGATGCGTTAAAGTAATGCTGCAATCGCTAGCTTTGGGGAGCTAATTCCCAAGTTTTTGATAAATTTTTTATTTTGGGATCATTACCATCGGGAAAAGATTCTCGTCATTTCATAAAAAATTTTTTTTTTTTTTAAAAAAAATTTTCGACATGAATACAGCTCCCGAAAAGTCTTGCGCAGTAAAAAAGGTTAAAAAAATTTGGGAAATTTCATTAGCCATCTTCCACTATCAGACACTACACCTGTTTGAAAAAAATATTAAAAATATTAGTCAATGGTTACAAAAATTCTATTTTTCCTCTTTTAAAACCCTTGAAAAAAAAATTTAAACCCGGGCCCCGGGGTTTATTTTTTCCCCAAATCGGTCATCTGTTGGATAACCCTTTTGCTATGACTATGAATTTCATAATTTTTTTCGTCTTCAAGCCCCCTATAAAATTTATTACTGGGTATTTTAGTGTCTTTGGGTGTTAAGTAATAGTTCTTCATTTTCCAATTGGTCCGAATTTTTATTGATAAAGCCCCTGGATGGCGAAAACTACAATAAAAAAACACCCAGAAGTTTCACATTTGTTTAATTTTATATGAGTAATAACATCCAAAAACCCCGGGTCATAAGTGTTATATACGCCCAAACGTAAAAGGGGTTTTAACATAGGAAATGATGTACTTTAGAATGAATAAAAAAGTCCCTTTTAATAGGAAGGAGTAAGTGGTGGTGGGTTGTTGTTGTTGTTGGGTTTATAAGGGCCACTGAGAGCATAAGTCATTAATGTTAGTGGTAGTGGAGGCGGCACCAGAAGCCACCAACACTATTCACACAAAAATGTATGTAATGTAATTTATAAATAAGAAATATTTACACTTTAATTTATAAATAAGAAATATTTACACTTATTGTACCCTGGAGATGCTGGCATTGGTTTAGGGTCGTGGAAGATAAGCAGGGCAGCATATGTTTGTCAGTGGCCCTATATACCTCCAATAACATTGAAGGAGTTAGTTTCGTGTCCTTTTTCTATCGCTTAACTTACTTGCTACACTGTTAATGCTACACTTTATTGCTGGCTGGTGCTATAGCCTTAATCGACCCCTGCTGCTTTAGTATCGTACATATCGTAGAATCACTGAAGAAGTAACATTCTCCCCTCTCTCTTCCTCCTCCACTTTGGTACTCTGCTACGAGTTTTTCTTGAATAATATCGTGTTTCTCACCTTCTTTATCAATGGGCTGGCACTAGCAGCTTTCTTTGGGCCCCATGATGGCTTATTTAGCAGTCACACAGAATAAACAAAAGCAAAAGACAATGAATTATTACGAAATGTTTCTTATTAACCTCGCAGAATAATGTTCACTCACCAAGACACAAAGCGACACTGCCTCAGAATGCGTGTGTGAGAGGTTTTGTGTGCGTGCGGCACTCGGATAGGTACCGTACCACTGATGAGAAAAATGGAGGAAAATAACAAAAACTGAGCCAATATTTTTCCACAAAAAAAAAAAAAAAAAAAAAAAAAAAAAAAAGTTGTGATAACTGAAATTCACGAAAACAGAGCCCAACAAAAAGGGAGGTCCACTTTAATTCTTTTTCTGAATAAAAATATTTTCTTTTTATAATTTCCATAATTTGGATAAGACAGAGCACAAATGTGTGTGTTTAAGAGATGAAGAGAAGTCAGAACATACAACAGTTATATCAATCATTTGTCCTGCACTCTTAATTCCAAAAATCACTCACTTGCTTAGCTGTAGGATTCTGTAGGAAGTCTCGAACCCAGCGTCGCCATCTAAGCCGTACTACTTCAGGAGTGTCTGATAAGAAAATTTAATTTATCTAAACTTACACATATTGAAAACTGAAGTTCAAATGCAGAGAATTGATTATTTACCTCCCAAAATGGGATATCTACTCAGAGTAGGGCTACCTACCAACATATTATTGGCCATTAGTGAGACTTTATTTATTACAATAAACATGCCTAGCTAGAACTATAAACCACAAGAAAATTCAGAAAAAAAAAAATATAGACAAAAATACTTATACATAATATCAGGGCCCACATATTGTTATTATTAGTTCAAGGAATGCAGTGATCTCAGCTTGTTGGGGTTGCAATGACACCAGTATCATGCACTTTCTGCACTGTCATTCTCCTTTCTGAATTTTATTATCACCAATACTAGATTATTTGCAGAGGGACACAACATATGTTATTTTCCATCCAAACATGGTCATACTAGGAAACACAGTTAATGTCAAATTGCAGAAAATATCTGCCTGGATGATGATTAATAAACTTACCCTGAATACTAATAAAACCCATTTCATTCAGTTTTGGAAACAAAGCTACAAATGATCCAATTAACATAACGCAAAACGGATCATCAGTCATAAGACTCACAGAGGGAAAATTCCTAGGTATCCACCTTAACAGTAGCCTTAAGTTCCAGACCACACATACAACAAATCACCAAGAAAATCTCCAAGACTGTAGGCATACTATCAAAGATAAGGTACTACGTTCCACGATCAGCTCTCCTGGCACTGTACCATTCACTCATATACCCTTATCTTACATATGGAATTTGTGCATGGGGATCAACAACATCCAATCACCTAAAACCCCTAATAACCCCGCGAAAGGCAACAGTAAGAATGATAACAAATTCCCACTCCGCCAGCATACTCCACCAATTTTCAAAAGTCTGAATCTGCTCACCATTAAGAACATCCATACTTATTATGTGCCTACCACATACACAGAGCAATACACGCAAATATAAACCCTCCATTCAAACTTCTCCTCACCAACCTAAACAGGACACATGATGACCACAACACAAGACACAGATGTCTTTTTGATATACCTTGTTTTCCATATCACACTGTGTAAAAACTCTATGCACATAAAGGGCCCCAAAATATGGAATTCATGACCAGAAGATATTAAAGTAACCCGGTCTGAAAAGCCACTTAATCCCCCTAGACTAAATGCCAAATACTCAGTACACACAAACTCACATCATAACTTCAACAATCACTTGAACCTTTTATCCATTGTTGACAGGAATATAACTGAATCATTGTTTTCACAAAAAGCATTTTTGAATATATGAATATATCTTTGTCTTATACAAATCTGATTCACTTATAATTAATAATCTACTGAAAAACTATGAAATAAATACTATCCTGCTGTACAACTATGATATAAGCCTTAGTGTTAAGTAGTCTGTAACCCAAATAATGTTAAGTTGGCCCATAATGCCTAGGCATAATAGAGGCTCTTTTGAAATTGCAACCCACTATTGTAAATACAAAAACTCAATGTACTGTTTGCAAAGACATGAAATAAATAAATAAATAAATAAATTAAGCTGTCATGATCTTTGTGCACCCACCTAGTCCCCCTCACTCACATGAAGCATAGGAAAAAATTATTATTGTCTTCTTGAAGGCCTTTGGATTATTAACCCAAGTAATCCAAGAAAGCTAAGACAGTTAAGCAGTGTTTTTTTTTTTTTTTTTTTTTTTGAGCTCATCAGTCCTCTCCCTGGAGATGAAATTTACAACAGCTAAACACAAAGATACCCTTTATTGCTAAGTGAATAGAGGCCGCAGGTATAATGAGACTTGCCGATACATGTTTAGAAGGAAGACATATGGGCAAATCTCCATACACCTGCTGGCCTTGTTCATCTATCAATAAACAGATAATTACAGTACAGTAGGGCCTTGCTTCAAGTGTTTTAAAGTTACTGCATATTTCATATGTACTCTGATAATTATATTTATGTGTACCTGTACAGGTACCATCCGACTTACGACCAAGCTTGGTTCCGACCAACCGATAGTAAGTCAAAATGGACGCAAGTCGAACCTTTGAAAATTGCTGACATACTGGTAGGGTATAATGTTAAACCTTTCCTATATAAACTACCTACATAGTACAGTAATGTAATGTATAATCATTATTTAATTCTTTTTCCCATAATTTACTTCTATTGATATATTTTAATTATTTATGTGCTGTATTTTATGTATACATGGTAGTGAACTGTATTGTAAATTTTACATCTCATACAGTATCTTATGTTACTGTTATCTTTAACCCTTTCAGGGTCCACAGGCCCTCTCAGAGACTTGTTCTCTGAGAAAAGATAGTTATGAAAAGATAGTTTTTTTTTTTCTAAACATTATAGGCTAAACAAAAATTTTTTACCATCAATACTTACCGAGATATGGAGGCGTGAAGTTGACAGAAAATGCCGGTAATTGGTAACATCGCGATTGCCGTCACCCGGTATTATTATTTTTTTTTAGGTACTATTTTCTATTATTTATTAATTTTTTTTCCAAGTAACTTTTATGGCTGTGAGACCAATATTAGCACTATTTTATAAGTTTTTTCTCTTTATTTACTACACAATAACTCCACAAACACTGTTGTCCTTATATTGTTTATAATTGTTGTTTTCACACACAAACGATATAAAATGTTGTTTATTACTATTTTTCTATATTTTATATACACACATACAGTCACAGGGAATGTTTCTAGAAGTTCTGCAGCCTGTGGAAGTCTTTGAAACATGGTGTCATGCACAGTGGTGTTTTACACTCCTCACACATAAAACGAGTGTCTCTGTGTTGTTGTGCTCGTTTTTTTTGTATGTGCACAGACGTAACACCTCTTCTGAGCCTTTTTCTTGAAAAAGTAGTAGCAGGCAGTTTTATTAGGAAGTGATCACCATGCTTCAGACGAGAAGGTAGTTGTTGATAATTTAGTGGGCAGTCAATTGCAGGTGTTGTTCCTTGGTACTTGAATACTATTTGTCTGATGACAGACAAACAAAATTTGCCATATGATGGTTTGTTTCTGGTCCTCATCTTATACATATTATAAGCATTGAGCCGGAAAATGTCCAGAAGATGAAAAAGAGTTTATATGTACCACCTATAACTCTTGTGAACATAATCAGCAAACCCAATCTGCATGTCACATTTGTCCACTGAGTGCATATTGAGGGTATAATCAATCACAGCTGCATTTATACTTCTTTTACAACCCCATCTATAAATTTATTAAACAACCATGGTGACATTACCACATCCCTGTCTAAGACCTACTTTTACTAGGAAGTAGTCTCCCTCTCTTCTACACACCTTATCCTGAGCCATCACTATCCTCATAAAAACTCTTTACAGCATTTAATAACTTACCACCTATTCCATATACTTGCAACATCTGCCACATTGCTCCCCTATCCACTATCATTATGCCTTTTCTAAATCCATAAATGCAATAAAAACTTCCCTACCTTTATCTAAATAGTGTTCACATATATGCCTCAATGTAAACACTTGATCTACACATCCCCTACCTACTCTGAAACCTCCTTACTCATCCGCAATCCTACATCCTGTCTTACCTCTAATTCTTTCAATTATAACCCTACCGTACACTTTTCCTGATATACTCAGTAAACTTATTCCTCTATGATTTTTACAATCTCTTTTGTCCCCCTTCCCTTTATACAAAGGGACTATACATGCTCTCCGCCAATCCCTAGGTACCTTCCCCTCTTTCATACATTTATTAAACAAAAATACCAACTACTCCAACACTATATCCCCCCTGCTTTTAACATTTATGTCATAATCCCATCAGTTCCAGCTGCTTTACCCCTTCATTCTACGTAATGCCTCACTCACCTCCCCCACACTCACATCCTGTTCTTCACTCCTAAAAGATGGTATACCTCCCTGGCCAGTGCATGAAATTATCACTTCTCTTTCTTCGTCAACATTTAAAAGTTCCTCAAAATATTCTCGCCGTCTACACAAAACCTCCAACTCCCCATCTACTAACTCCCCTACTCTGTTTTTAACTGACAAATCCATTCGTTCTCTAGGTTTTCTTAACTTGTTTAACTCGCTCCAAAATTTTTCTTATTTTTCATTAAAATTTCTTGACAGTACCTCTCCCACTCTATCATCTGCTCTCCTTTTGCACTCTCTCACCACTCTCTTCACCTTTCTTTACTCTCCATATACTCAACTCTTTTATAACACTTCTGCTTTGTAAAAACTTCATAAGCTAACTTTTTTCTTTTATCATACCCTTTACTTCATCATTCCACCAATCACTCCTGTTCCTCTGCACCCACTCTTCTGATGATGATGATGATGACCAGAGCTTTGGTAAGATGGGGTAAGGAAGAAGGATGGGTAAGGTAGAAACATTGGAAAAGGGTGGGGGGGGAGAGAGGTAGGAAAATATAAGGTAAGTGGCCCAACCACTTTGGTGTAATTTAAAAAGTGTATGTGAAATGATAAGTATTCTTTAAGGGGTATAATACTAACCCATCAGAGTCACATAGATATAACAGATATATAAGTACATGACTCTGAATGGTAGTAATTATACAAGTTGCAATTGCTTTTTTTTGCGATGCACAACAGATATTTATGCGACAATGAAGGCAATAATTTTCTGGCCAGTTTAGGAATTACGTGACAATGGCTTCTTACAGGTGTGGTCCAGCCATGGTAAATAGCATAATTTTTACATAGATTGTTATATAAGATGTCTCCCTAATATGGGGCGAGATTTCTTAGTATACATAGAAGGGTTCTGGTGCTACCCAATCTTCTCATCAGGAGGTTGCTCAATATCATGGTTGATGGTAATCATCTTTATGTATAAAACGACGGACCCTCTGTGGGGAGTCATTCTTTGAGTCCTGTGAGAGAGTATTGTTTATATAATCTGTGGTATTTACCACTTGTATAGGATGTTCTCTATCTG